ACCATAACAAAAAAATCACAAAACCAAGCCAGGATTTACATTAAATATTAGGCTTATTTACAGCACCAGCAGGTAAGTCAGCAGTGTAACGGGCACAGAGGCAGATGTCTGATGGTAATGGGCAAATTGGCAGAGCAGGGTTGGATGGATGCTGCTGTGTGTCATCTTTTCTATAGGTAAATAGATTGCTGGAGTTACCAGAGATATTCCCTCAGTGTTTTTCAATGAAAGCTTTTGGTCTGAACATCTCTTGTTGGCTCTGACTGTTGCTCATTTTCCTTATGCAATACTATCTGTTTGGTTTGGCTGTTAGAAGGAACTGTGTCAAAGTATGGCTGCAGTCATATTAAAACCTGGCGTAGACAAACTATTAACATAGACAAAGAGACATGGAAAAAATAAAAACCACCATACCCCAATCGAACTAAAACTGCAGCTGAAAATTCTCATTTAACATGAAGTTTCAAGTTCCTTGTGTAGTTTTTCCCGACAGGCAGGAATCTGGAAAGGTGTTATCACAGGCACCTGCCTTTGGAACGCCATCTCATGAATCGCTTCCTGAGAGAGGGAATTGTATTTCCTCTTCAAAGGCTGGGGAAGATGAAAAAGGAGATAGGATCTTCACAGAGACCCTGCAGAGACAAGCATTTGAACCCTTAGTTGCACATGTTGGGCAGCCAGAGTCTGCACTCCATCAAGTGGCAAGGCAGACCGTCAAGACAGGGGAATGAGGGGCTTGTGACTTCCAGCACCAGGAAGTTGGCTCCTTTTCCACTTGTAAATCTGTGACAAGAGTAGTTGAAACAAGCTAATGCAAGATGTTTTGATAGCCTAGAAAAGTTCTAAGAAAACCACTCAGCCTCAGCTGAAATGAAAAGAGAAGCGTGCTGTGTGACAGTCATGTACAGATCATGGAATTCAAGGATATGCAAAATATTTGTAGCAGAGAAATGAGGGGTCCTATTCTCTTCCAGCACAGAGCAGGCACCTTTTTTTTTGTTGTAGCAGAGCATTGTCGGATATTTTGATGAGGATTATTGCATTTTTCTGGTCTTTGCTAGCTCTGTATGCAGAATGTAAATCATTGTATTCAGCACTGAGTCCTGCTCTGATACTGAGTAACATTGAAAACCCAAGTTACAGGTTAAGTAGCTCTAGGTATTTCTTACAGCCTAAATATGTCTGATTTTCACCTGATTTCAGCACTAACGTTTGCTTCCATTGTGGTTTTTTTCATTTATTCATTGCCACTGAAATGAATGCCATTTCAGTCTCTAGACACCGTTAATACAAGGAAGATTTACCTAGCAGGGAAAGAAAAAACAGACATGACCAGCTATAAAATGAAAGTTAAATGGAACTTGTTTCTTCAGCCACTGCATGTAATATTTTATATTTTCCCCCATTATTTGCAATTAGTTCATAATATGAAAAAATGGTATTGCATGTGCTATCCATGTGAAAATTAATGAGGAAATGCTGAAGTCATATCATATGTGGGATCAAGTATCATGTTTTAAAGTATCAATTCCTATGGCCCCCAGCACTGTAATACCGACTGCTAATCCTCGGGAATGGCTGCTACAGTGTGTTGATTAGAGTGTAAATAGTTTAATAATCTCTCAGTGACAGGAGTTCATGTTGTAGTTTTACAGATCATGAAATGTGTCTGTTTAAGATATGGACACATTATCTTCTCCATTTTCTTTTTTTTTTCCTTCCCCAGAAGGCACTATGTAATCATGCTCATTTTATCTCTGCCTCTTCTACCTGCACTCCGGTGCTCATTAACATGATCATACAGGGCACAGGCAAAGTCAAAGATTATTTTTGTTACAGGGAGAAAAAAAGCATTTTCTTTTGGAAACGCTTTTACATTGCAAGTTAAGGAGAGTAAACTCTCCTTATCGCTTCTAAACAGTGCACCTGATCAGTTGTTAGCTGTAGAGCTCATTGCCATTGTGCAAAGGACAGCAAATTGACAATGTTTCTCAAATAAATTATTGCAGCAATATGAAAACTGAAAAGGCACATTTTGAGTATATTCCCTCCTCGGGGATTCAGGGTTATTTTTGGCTTATGAAGCTGAGTTTAAGTAAATATACCAGCGTCTCAGAAGAATAGAAGGGAAATGAGAATTTTGTGATTAAAACAGGTAGTCAGGAGTGTGGCTTTTGCATCTGATCCTCCCTAGGTGATTAGTACACTCCTCTGAAATCAGTAGAGCTTGGCCAATTTATACTAACTGCAGGTCTGCGCTTTGCAAAGGGACATACTTTGCAACAGTTCAGTTAACCTTATCTCTTATTAATTTCTTTTTCTTTTCTTCCTTTTTTATTTTTTTTTTACTACCAGTTTGTTAAATTTGCAAACGCACTTTCTAGGCTGGAAGGCTTTGCAAAGCCAATGGAACTGTGCCTTCTATAGACAAGCCAGGTCTTCTCCCACAGCACCCGTGCAAGCCTTGAAGGGAAGCAACGCCTAGGAAGTGTAGCGTAAGGGAACCGAAGTGTAATTGTCACTTGGGAAGGGGAAAGCAGGGAATAAGTTTAGCCAAAAGTATGCTAAGACTCACAGAGATGCTCATTTGGTAATGCAGAATTTATTAAATATTCCTATTAATTCCAGCTACTGAGCTACAAACCCCGGAACAGATACTTACTCTTTTTGGAAAAAGGATAAGAACCAACTTCTTAGACAAAATGAAGGAAGGGAAAAAGCACAGGATAAGAGGCCTCAAACACTCGAAAAAATAAAGAAAGTTTCTTTCCTTAGTCCCTTTATTTGTACCCAGCGACAGCGGTGCTGTCCTCAAAGGGCCAATAGTGGACAGCTAATACCCAAAGAGGAAGGCATGAGGGAAAAATGAATAACACATTGCCAAGGAGCTCCCAAATGAATTATTAAAACCACTTTATTAAATATAAAATAATCATCTTTGCCCCTGGCCTTTCATTTTTCACCTTCCAGAAGACCTTTCAATGCCTTTTGTCTCCTGATAAATCTTCATCCATCACAGAAAATACTATGCCAAAATAGGGCTGTTCTATTTCATCATGGCTCTGCGTCCCTCAGGATGTGGACAAGGGTCGTTGTAACTCATGTAGAAAAGATCTTTCTTCTCCACCCATAAAAAAAGAAAATATTTTTGCCTTCTTTGTGTAAAATTGTTGTTTAAAAAGCTGAACTAAAGCTAAAGCTAAAACCAAAAGACCGATGAACAATGATGGTGATGGAGTTCTCTTTTATGTAAGCAGGCATTTTCCCCAATCAACCCTCTCCCACGAGATACCTAAATTTATAGCGATGTTAAATATTGTGATTAACTCTTGTTTTGAGAGGGAGGCTACTTCAGTCAGTTGGATCATTGCATTCTCATAGTCTGCTGAAGTGTAGATTACCCAAAAGGAGCATCTGGCAGGGTGAAAGCCAAACTGTGGGATAAGTGACTTGACTGCGGGAACAAGCTGAAAGAAAAAATGGGTTGTGAAGTGTGGGAGGATAGCAGCAGGCAGGAGGGCAGACAGGAAAACATACTGATATATGGAAACAAGAAAGAAAAAGGATAAACATGTGCATTCAAGTGTGCTACTCATTTATTCTTCTCCCCCATCCAGTAATTAGAGCCCTTTTAAATGGAAGTTTATTTAGGTTCAAAACTTGTAAATAAACTTGTAAATTATCCTACTTATGCAAACGGACTCACTGATTAATAACATTCTGTTAATAAGATTCAGTTTATGTATATTATGTGGACCGAGCTACCAGAACAAATCACAAAACATAGGATGTTCACAATAGCAGTGATCCTGTGATTTAAGAACTCCTTCTCTTCCACTTCAGAGATAGGGACAGGAGTCAAAAAGAAGTTATGGGAGGTGTTTTTGAAGTGTCAAAGTATCACAAAATACTTTGAAAAGATCAATTTCAATTCTAAATACTTTTGAAAGTCTGATCCTTAATGGCTTGTCTCAGGTGAAATAACATGTCTAAAGGAGAGCTGGCCTGTAAAATCACATTTAATTGCATTTCCTAAGTATTAGAATATAGTCTTTTTAAGGCAGTTTTCTATCTTCTCCAAATGGGTCAATATACATTTATCTTTTGTCTCTGTTTAGGGCTCAGGGCAAACCCAAATCAAACAAGAAGCAGGATTTTCTCTCTATTGTCCCACACCTTCCCAGGGGAGGATTAAAAAAAAAAGGGAATAGAGAAAAGATGCTTCACACAAGGTTGGAAGTTAAGACCGTAACAAGTTTAATGAAAAACAACAGGGGAAAGGAAAAGGGAATTAATAAGGGATAAAGGATATTTAACTATACACAAAACCCGATCCCAGCAGTCCCCAGTTGAAGTGTCCGAGCAGGGCCTCGTGGCCACTGTGATCGCTGTGACTGTCACCAGGACCGCAGTGGTGCTGGGAGCGGGTGCTGGTGGATGCTGCCGAGCACGGGGGGGGAGCCCCCGCCGGCCCGCGAGGCCACAGGGAAGCACCTCAGAAGCCAGGGAAGCCCTTGAAACCTCAGGCCTCCTTGGTTTTTTTAGACTGTGGCCAGAAATGCGAGGGAACAGAACTGATCTCTGACCCCTAGGGTCCTACAGACACCACCTGTCCTTCCCTCTCAGACTGGTAACCCTTAAACCATAACATCTTTAAATGTGTATTTGCTTTCAGATCCTAAATTTGAAAGTAAGAAACTCTGATTCTTATTGAATCTTTGTAATATCCATGTTGAAAAATATTGATAGTGCTTGTATTTGTTTGAACATCAATTTAAAAATTATATAAATGTTGACATTTGCTGGTTGTATTGTAATATTACCACTAAATATGTAGTTACCTTTCTTATTTGAAAGAGTTAAAATGTTCTATTCTGAAATTGCAAAGGTTCAAGTTTTAAAATACTGGAAGTTTAAGATAAACCAAATTAGAAGTCAATTTTTGTTGCAATAATAGCCATAACTACATAATTAAAGACTATTAATTTATTTTTTTTCAGATGAATTCAAATTATTTATGAAAAGGCTGCCCATGAATTATTTCCTGAACACATCTACTGTAATGCATTTGTGGACAATGGATTCTAATTTTCAACGTCGCTATGAGCAACTAGAGAACAGCATGAAACAACTCTTCCTCAAGGCACATAAAACCGTTCACAAGCTCTTTGGTCTTAGTAAGAGATGCCATAAACAGCCACTCATCCGCATGCCGAGGCAGAGGTAAGAAAGCCTATGAAAACCTGAGAAACTCAAACTGCTGCCTTGACACTAAAATCTTCTTAAGAGCATAGCTATGGGAATGTGTGTAGCATCTGGTACATGCACAGCATACAGTCTTTATATTTGTAGGGGTTGAACGATCCCAGCTTTCAATATTGCTCCACTCATGTTTTCCTCAATACAATAGGAAAGGTCTAAATAAAACCTGATTTGTATATGACTGTGTGAGCGTAGAGATTTCTCCCATTTGGTCTGCCTCTGTTTTACAGAACCATCTTTTCAGTGGAACTTGGCCAAGTGTAACAGTGCCAAATAATTGTATACCGAATACTGAATGCCTCTTCTGAAGCAGGCACAGCTATTTTAAGAACTTTCCAGGTCATTATACAGTATATACTACATACTATTGATTTCTTGTTTCACTTGTCAGGTATGAATTAGATTTGAAAGGATGCCTAAGGAAAGAAAATAGAAGTGTTTTAGTCCTTCCTAGAAACAGACATCCTGGAAGCTAGCTAGTCAAATCTACATTAACATAAAGCAGTTACAGTTGATTGCTGATCGAAAATGGTTTTATTGAAATTAGTGGAATGACACTGGAGTAAATCTGAAATGAATGAGTTTTTAAGGGCATTGTTCTTTTCAGCACAAGCATTGTGGCCTAGTGCAGTGCCTCCTGCCTTTAGCATGTATCTCTGTCGATTTTAAAGAAATCCAGTTTAGGTTCAGTGTTCCAGAACTGCCAGGGGTACTTTGATTTCCCCCGATTTCAGCTCTGCTATTGTAAGCTAAGGCTCCAACAATTCCTCTTTGCCTTTTGGAGGCACTTCCTAACCCTTCCACTTTTTCTTTCAGAAAGAGACAGCCGTTATGGCTCTCATGCCCCGCTTTTTCTATATATTGTGCTTTGCTTTGTGGTCTGCTAGTTGAAACAAAAGATGTATTTTTCACTGGAGGTGTCATTTCATAATTAGAAAACATTCTTCTAAAAAAGGTTATATAGTCACTGCAGGGCTTCGACACCATCTCCTCTGTTTCTCGGGCATGACCTGAATAAGCATTCTGCCAAAGACATGATTCAACATGAAAGACTTCAGCAG